TAGATAATGAATGATATGCCATTAACAAGGAGGAAACTTCTCAGACATTCTAAGCCCAATGAGCTAACATATCCATCCACACTGAGGGATAAAAGGTGATAGTGAGGGCAGCACAGGGTGCTGAAGGGGAGAGAGCTGCCAAGGACTGAATAAGAAAGTTTGAAGGGACTCAGGGCTGCCCAAGACAAACTGAGACAACTCCTTAATTCCTGAAAATAATCTTTATATTAAATTGTGTCACAAGTAGAAACCCCCAAGCAGATAGAATTGATTTATGATTAGTATTTTTCAAAAATCTGAGTATTTCTGTCCAGCTTTGTAGATTCAAACCTTTCCCACCCCAACCCCCTTTGCTTGGCTCCAGAAGACCAGATTCTTTTCTCTTTTTTCTTTTTTTTTTTTAATTTTTATTGTGATTTGGGTGAAAGCTTACAGATCAAATTCATTTTCCATACAATAGTTGGAAGCAACAACCAGAAGCTCTGAAGAGGAAAGGAAGGATTCTCCCCTAGAGCTTTCAGAGAGAAGATGGCCCTGTTAACACCTTCATTTCAGACTTCTAGCCACCAGAACTGTGAGAAAATTAATTTCTATTGTTTTAAGCCACCACGTCTGTGTACTTTGTTATGGAAGCCCTAGGAAAAGTAATATATAACCCGGTCATAAAATAAGAAGGAAAATGCCTATCACAGACCATGTTTCTAAATTGTAATGTTTCTGCAATGCATCTTCTTTTTCTAGAAGGATCCCCCTTCTCCTACCCTAACACTCTAGTCCAGAGCACCTTGTCAATTCCATTGCATATGCCATGGGTGGGGTGAGGTGAGGGAGTGTTACAACCTATATAGTTAAGGATAGTGGCAAATGGCTTTATGCTGCATGACACCCAGAGGTCCCCCCTTATAATTCTTGATTCTTCAGATCCTTTAATTAGCTTTTGTTATGGATTGAGTTGTGTCCCCAAAAAGTAACTGTTGTAAATCTTAACCCCTATCTACTTCCATAAAAATTTACAGCCTTGGAAACCCAACGGGGTTCACTATAAATCGGAATCAACTCCATGGCAGTGGGTTTGAGTTTTTGGTTATACCTTGTGATAGTTGGAACTGTGCATCAACTTGGCTGGACCACAATTCTGTGTGGTTTAAGCAGTTGTGATGTGGGTTATTCTCATGATGGGATCTGATATATATTTTTTGAGCAGCCAATCCATTGAAAGGGAGTTTCCCTAGGGGTGTGGCCTGCTTCCAATATATTTATGGACATCCTGGGAAAAGAGACACTCTTCTGTGGATCAGGATCCTGTTGTGCTGCCTACAACTGTCTGTGAGCAAACAATCCACCATTTGGCCTGGAGATCTTGGATTCATCATTCGTTGGAGTCAACAGCTGGTATGCTGCCTGCCAACCTTGAGCTTAGCCCCTGCAGCTGCGTGAGTCGGAAAAAGCCTCCAGCTTGACGTTTGATACAGGAACTTGGGACTCGCTAGCTTCTGTAAGTGTGTGAGCCATTTTCCTAAGATAAATTTCTCTTTCTCTATACGTATATATAAGCTTTACTGGTTTTGTTTCTCTAGAGAACCCAGCCTAACACATACCTACATATGGGGATATAATCCCATCTGGGAATGAGGTTTTCTCTGTTATGTTAACGAAGTTATATTCATATAGCATATATCTTAAACTATTCAATTTTGAGCTATAAAAGGAGAAGTTTGGGCACAGAAGCAAGCAAGCACAAATGGGGAAAGATGATGCGTATGGAGATCACCAAAGAACTGAGCAAGAGAAAAAGAAAGAGATAAGCATTTTCCCCCGGAGCGGACAAAGAGAGCCTTCCCCTAGAGCCTAGGGCTCTGAATTCGGATTTCTAGCCTTCTAAATTGTGAGAAAGGAGCTTTGGTGGTGCAGTGGTTAAGTGTTCAGCTGCTAACCAAAAGGTTGGTGGTTCAAGATATTTTAATAAAACAACAAAACTCATTGCCATGGAGTCAATTCCGACTCATAGCAACCCAATAGGACAAAGTACAACTGCCCCATGGGGTTTCCTAGGATGTAATCTTTACCAAAAAAGATTGCCACATCCTTCTCCCGCTGAGCGGCTGGTGGGTTCAAACCACTGACCTTTCTGTTAGCAGCTGAGCGTTCAACACTGAATACAACATTGGAAACCCTAGCATTCTGCTCTATCCTATACGGTAACTGAGTTGGAATCAACTCATCAGCAACGGGGTTTTTTGTTTTCTTTTCTTTTGTTCTGTTTAATTGTGAGAAAATAAATTTCTGTTTGTTAAAGCGACTCACTTGTGAAAAGGCATACCTAAGGTATGGCAGGTATGACACATGCCTTAGGAGCCACTTGAAGGAGGGCACCATTGAGCAGTTTCTATTAACCATTGCAGTTTCCATCACCACCTGAGAGGTCATTCAGCAAGGTAAAACTAACACTTTTGTATTTGAGAGCCTCCAGGGGTCAAGGCAGACTATGTGATCTTGTTCTGCTGAGGGTAGAAAGAGAACTGGAAAAAAAAAAATTACTTTGAGCACATCATAGACTAGTTTTTGTCATTGAAAGCAAGGAAGGTGCTGTTGTAATTTTCATGTAGTGCCATAATGTGTTAAGTGAAAGATTAATGAGCTTGACTTGGAGTTTTACCTGGTACTGGGGTAAAGTTATCTAAAAAGTGGGTGGGAGACATTCAGACAAGAGTGTAATTTCAATGCTTTCCATAGACACTATTTTCCATCTATGCACCTCTGCCCTTGTGGTTATCTCTGTTAAGCAGCACTAGACAAGTAAGATAGTTTTGATTACGTCATCCTGTGTTTACCCTCCAATCTAAGGTCAACGGTTGAATTTAGCCTTTTTGGTCTATGGAAGATCAAAGTCCTTAGCTTGATAGGCACCAAATCAGCCCCTTTGGGCTTCTGGCAAGAACTGCTCTCCTGAAAGCCACATGTTGAATCAAACAGGCCAGAGTCCCCGGAATTGTTACTCTCTGTCCTCAGCTTTCATAACACACCCTGTTAGGGTAACTACCACCCAACCCTCAGATAGCTCTCTTACCTTCATTTTTTAACATGCTGGTCTCTACTCTGCAGCATTCCTCATCACTAGTTATTTTTGTGAAGAGGAGTGTTTTGTTGTTGTTGGTAATTTCCCTTCCCTAGAAAATAAAAGAGAGAGTATTTGGGTCCATCCCCAGTGAATGTCTGACTGTAACATCTTGGTATGATACAGAGTTCAATTCTGAGATAACAGTGTTGCCTGACTGGCAAATTGACAAAAACCACCAAGAATGTAGATCAAGGCATGCTGGATTTCTTTTGCTTTTCTTTTTAATTATTATTAAGTTCATAATGCTGCATTATATAAATGAGAATTAAAGGACAATTTTCAGGTGACATATTGAAACAATTTTTACCTCAACAATTTATATATATGCTCTTTTTTTCTCTTATCATGATTTGAGTGAAGGTTTACCTAGCAAATTGGCTTTCCATTCAACAATTCATATATATTTTATTTTGTGACATTCATTGCAATCCCCACAATGTAACAGCCCTCTGCCTGCTTCCTCCCTGTGTTTCCCACTGGCCTTCCTCTTTCTTTCCTATCTCTTCCTGCCTTCTTAGTTTTATCCCTGGGCATGTGTTGCCCTTTTGATCTTGTATTTATTTGATTGTTCTAATGTGTGCATACCTCCCTGGTATTATCATTCGCCTTACAGGCCTGTCTATCATTTGGCTAAAAGTTAAGACACGGGTTTGAAGGGTGTCTAAAGACCACAGTCTCAGATGTCCCACCAGTTTTTATCAGACCTGCTAGCCTCTAACCAAGCATTCCCCAACAAATTGAAAAGTCAAAACTATAATATCAGGCAAGTATCAGGAAAGGGAACTACCTATTGAATAGTGTGAGATCAGAATGCCCTCCTCATGTCATGTCATTGTCTATAACCTTGTCTTTTTTATGATTTTGAGTTTTATTCTACATTTTTCTCCCACTCTATCTGGGACCTCCTATTGTGATTCCTTTCAGAGCAGTCAGCAATGGTATCTGGGTACCATCTAGTTCTTCTGGTCTCAGGGTCGTAGAGGCTGTGGTTCATGTAGTCTTTTGAACTGTTTCCTTGAATCTTTGATTTCCTTCACTCTTCTTTGCTCTCCTTTGACAGAAGAGACCAGTCGTTGCACCTTAGATAGCCACTCACAAGTTTTTAAGAGCCCAGTTGTTATTCACCGAAGTCTTAAACAGCTAAATTTTAACTGTTGCATGTGGACTTCTGAACGAGGATCATGTATGCTTGATGGTTTCAAAAGCAAAATATGGTGCCTTGTGTTGGTGATGGATGTTCCTGCTCATCCACAACATTTAACAACTCCCCCTTCAGTAAATTTCAATTGGAATAGAGGAGAAAAGCTGAATTCTTTATATTCATGACAATTAAATATTAACTACCAAATGCTTGAATTTCCATGACACAACAATAGCCCCCTCATCCCATCCCTTTCTGTGTTTCCAAGTTCTTGATGTGAAATAAAGCAAGTCAGCCAGAATTGAGTTATAAACATGTTTTATTATAACTAAAAATGATCAGTGGAACTGCAAAGAGGTCAAAGGAAAACAAAAAACCAAGGATTCCCCAACAATAAATTTCAGAGTCAGAATTGCAATATCAGGCAAGCATCAGGAAAGGGAACTTGTTATTGAATAGAGTAAGATTGGAGTGCCCTCCTCATGTCATTGTCCATAGCAGGTATTCAGGGGAGAGGACTCCACAGATTCAGACCACAATTGAATGACGAAGTCATTGCATAATCAAGTTCTACTTCCAGCCACTCATCCTGACAATTAAGTTCTAACTAAATCATACTCCCATGTCTTCTCTTACAGTGAAATAGTAAGAATATTGTAAGGAACTGAAAGCAATGGATTGGTCCTATCAATCCAGGAAACTGGTATTTCCCCTTGGAGAGGCAAGTGATATATGTATGGATTAGTCCATATTGGGGTTACTATATTCTTGCATAGTCTTCTTTATCCAATCAATGTAGTTTTTCACCTTTGTGTAGATCCCATAAGTCCCACATTGGGGTCCCCAGGACACCAGGCCAGCTACATAGAATTTAGGGTTCTCTTCATTGGGGTACTGTATAGCAAGGGCCCCACCGCTGTCACCTGTACAGCTATCAACCCCCTTTTCGCCTCCAGCACAGATCATGTTATCTGTGAAAATATAGCTCCTTATATTCACTTTGGAATTTTCCGGCTTCACCTCCCGGCACTTTTGTAAGGGAGCTATAGGTATCCTTGCCCCGTAGAGATGGACAACACGATCTCTTGACTCTGTTCGGCCCCAGCCTGAGATAAGTCCCAGGGTTCCCACTGAGGGGCTATATTCTGGGGTAGTGCCTGGCAGGCAGATGGGGGAGACAGTGGGTCCCATTTTCACTGGGTCTCTCAGCCGCACTAGTGCAATGTCATTGTCAAAATTCTTTCGTGTTCCTGAAACATCCAGAATTTCCCAACCAGGATGAATAATCACATTCTCAGCAGTGAGCATCTGGGCATTTTCCAGAACTGAGGTACGCACTAACGTGGAGCCAACATACATTGTTGGGTTCCGGTTTTCCTCCACAACATGGGCCGCCGTCATTACCCAGTGCTCATCAATGAGAACCCCAGCAGCCCATGGGTTAGAGAAGAAAACTTGCCAGGGGAAACTCTGAATTTTTGTCTTGGATCCTCCAAATATCCTCTGTTTTCCTGTAAAGATCTCACTGGGGACTCCACAGACTAGGAAGAAACAAGAACAAGATGTGAACAGAGCAAGAACTAGATGTTGGCCTCCTGTAAATCCTCAAACCACTCAAATACTTTTATCTGCCAGGGCTGCAGATTTTCTTGCAAGATATAACCAATCCTGTACTTGGTCACCCATCTCAGTCCCTGGCTCATCCTGCCTCTACCTAAGGACTAAACATTCTACTTCAGCCAATGTTACAAGCAGGCTCCTGGGAAGGCTAGTTAAACTGAGCAGTGAATAATTTCATTCAAATAACCTAGGGCTTGACTCTGCAGGCAGCTTGATTCTCAGTTCTTCTAGAAGCACATTCCATCCCCAGGCTCAGCACATAAGCCACAGGAGCACGTGCTGGGAAGATACTCCCTGGCAGCTGCTTCCTCACACAGATGGCAGGGGAGGCAAGCATTCTACCTTCTTCTGATGCCCACATCAAAAGCCTCATCACCTTCTTTCCTGAGTCCTACTTACAACTGAGTCCTTCCTCCTAATCCACAGGTCAGCCTATGGAGGAGGATAAGGAGAGGGGTTTCTTTCCCTTTGGTCTCTACTCCCCATTGACTAAGTCCAGGTATGATGTCTTTGCCACTACCAAGTATAACTGAAATAGAATTTTATTTCAGATGAAGTTGGTTTAAAGAAATCCCTCACTAGTCAGCCTGAATGGACTATGAATTGAATATATGGGCCTTGGACTCTGATAGACCTGGGTTCAAAGCCTGGTCCTGTCACTTACTAACTCTGAGTACTTGCTTTAATTCATCCATCTCTAAACTGGGACAGATAACACTTACATCACAGAGTTATTGCAAAGATTTGAAGGAGATAATAAACACAACAAATTAACTCAATCTCTAGCTACAAATAGCATTATTGCTATTACCAGAATCATAATTACAATGGCTTTGCCCCAGTGCCTTCTTACGTTCAACTCGGATCTGCTTGCAACCCCTCATTTCTTTTATTCCTCTGTATCTTATTGCCATGTAGATTTTAATACAATAACTAGGCCATTCAACTAGTTTTGTTTCTGAGTGTTGACTCCTCACTCTTAACTTTCAGGCCATGTTTTCAGTAATTCTATATTCTCTTACTACATCTACATTACCAGACCCACTGGCCCTGACTCTGACACCAGCTGTCACTGGCTGACTCTTCTATTCCCCTTCAATTGACCTAACTCAGGATGGTTGAGGGAATTCCCCAAGATTCTGGCAGGCCCACATCCCAGTGTTGTCTCCACTTCCTTGGACTGGACTCTGATAGGCATGGAACTGTTAACTCCTTTTCCAAGAAGATCACAGCTATTTTCAGAAGGTGACTACCCCACTCACCCACACCTGTGGCTATGGTCTCTAGCCAACCCTGATCCCTGATTACCTGGAACACACTTCGGCAGCTCTGTGCCCAGCACCTCATTCACCCAGCTCCCATTACCAGTGCAGCGATACTCCCCTGGAATAGTACAAAAGACACAGGACACACTCACCACCACATCTTCTCTCTTCCATTCCCTCCTTTCTTTCAGACCTTCAGCTCCTCTGGTATTTGAGGAGGCATCATCAAATCAGCTAAAAAATAATTTTAATATCTCCCCCCCCCCAAAAAAAAAAAAGAAATCCCTCTGGCTTCTATCCTGCCAATGAAGGGGAAGGAAGAGTCTCAAAAACAGAAGGGAGAAAAAATATGGCAGAAATTTAGAAAGTTCTGTAAGTGAGAGAAATAAAGTAAAAAGCCATATAGTAAATATATTATGTCTCATCCAGCCCTTCATCCAGCACTACCAAGGCCTTTACATCCAAAAAGCCAGTCATCATAGTATGGTGACTTGAAACTGGAAGCATTGCTCCTATAGTTTTTGCATTAAATAATTTTTCAAAATCTGGGATGATTACATGAAATGGATGTTGCAGGGAGAACCCCAGCAGTAACTGTGAAGCTGAGTTAGCTGATCTCTATAATACATCTATGGATGATCATGGAGACCCTACTCTATCCCATATGAAAACTGTATCCTTAGACTAAGCCAGAAGGATGAACAGATGTCTGTCCCATCTCCCTCATTTTTCTCTGAACTCTTTCCAACCCAGAAAGATCATGCCATTCACCCTCCAGCCCCCCTCCCTTCTCTCTCTCCCTTTCCTCTAGAAAAAGAAACCTACCACTTCCTTCATTTTCCATGTAGTAATATGGCTCCTCACAAGTGTATTGAGTGACAGAACCAAATAAAGTATCTCCTGGATCTTTGGCTTTACCATTCTGAATGGGTTCAGGAGCACCACAGTCCACAGCTACAATCGGAAGGCAGAAGAGTGATGGTCAGGACAGCCACTCTCTTCCAGAAAGAGTCATGGGCCCAGTTCTACACTCTCAACCATGTTCCTCACTCCTTCCCCACCCCACATCCATCATCACAATGGGATAAATCTACCCACACCATCCTCTCTGTGGCCATGACCTCCAACTGGTATCACCCAACTCCCAGCCCACTGACACTTGCCAGTTCAGATGGCTCCTTCAAAGGTACAAGGAGGAACCTGGTTCTCAGTGGCTGAAGGCCCCTGTGGAAGCCAGGCATGCATACATGTGGAACTATTAACTCTACCAATCCCATAGTTATCTCTTTGGAAGAAACCTGCTAGTCTGTCTGGCCTGGGATCAAATCAGAACTGGGACTAGAGAAGCCTCAATGACAGGATTCTCTTCAAAAACCCAACCCATCCTCTTAAGAGTCTAAAAGGAAACCCTGAATTTGAATCTTCATGTGCCAGTCCTTCAATTCTCTTTGGAAGAAAAAAAAAGCCCACTTTGAAGAGATACATACGTTGACATTTCAGCTTAGAATTACTCCACTTTCCATCGTTTTGACAAGTAGAATAGAAAGAGGTTGAGCCAACATTCCCCTGGAGAATAATAGACCATGTTAATTTAGAAGGATAAAATGGGAAACAAAAATCAAAAATGGAATCTATCTCTGGCCTTGGATCACTGAGCTGTCCTCACCACAAGAAACTTGAGGACATCTTAGCAGAATGACCCAAAGCTCCCAGAGTCTGGGGTTGAATGACATCTTTGCTCCAGCATATCATCTCCCCTTCCCCAAGAAGACTAGAGGCAGAAAGAGACTGTCAAGCTGGCCAAGGAGCTCAATGACTCATAAGGAAGGACTGAAGATGCTGAGCTGCTCTGCTTATGGGAAAGGTTTTATGCTTGGCTCAAACAAGGACATTAGGTAGACAATTGGACAACTCCCGTATGCTCATCCTGACCTCAAAGCCAAGGATTAAAGAGAAACCTTAAGGGTGCTTTACCTGCACAACTTCAAACCCATCCAAACAGATTATCTTCACCACATCTCTAAACACGTATTTTGCTTTCTCAGGCTCCCAAACAGAATTGGCAATGAATTCTTTAGGACAGGGGATTGCTTTGAGAGGACAAAATTAAAACAGAAAAAAAAAAAAAAAAAAAATTACTTGGTAGTTGGAGAATCTCTATTCTGTATATATCATTCTCACACTTTTTAAAATCTTTCAGTTGCCTTCAACTCTGATGCCTTACACTTGGGAGATGTGTACAATAATATGGCATTACTAACTAACCACTCCTAAACTTTCTGCACTCACAGGATTGAAGGATTCCTAGAGGTTATGGCATTTCTAGCAACCATTTCTGGAGGAGCTTTGGTGGCACAGTGCCTAAAACATTTGACTGCTAACCAGAAGGTTGGAAGTTCAAACCCACCAGCCACTCCACAGAAGGAAGACAGAGCAATCTACTTCTGTAAAGATTTACTTTCTCGGAAACACAATGGGGGTTGCTATGAGCAGGATTCAACTCAATGGCACTAGGTTTTGGTTTTGGTTTTGATGGGTTTACATCTTTCTGAGAAAAGGTAAAAAGTAATGAAGTATCTATCCATACAACAGTTTTGATTTTTATCTTGTCCAGGGACTTTGGTGCTCAAAAGTGCAACTTCTACGTTACTCACGATCTCCGTGGTAACGAAGCTTCCAACCCTTTTTCTGTCCATCCTGGTCAGTTTGGAAGATGATATCAAGAGCATTACTACGGGTTTCAATATTCAGTGGCCCAGGGAATCCATTACCACAGTAAGGACCAAATTGTTCATTTCCTGCAACAAACTGAAAGGAAAGAAAATTATAAAATCAGAAGAGAGAGAGAGAGAAAGAATTAAAGGAAAGTGGCAAAAGGGAGGGGATAAAAGTAACAGAGGTAATAGATGTAATTTAAAAGAAGATGAAGAAGAAAAGGAAAATAAGAGGGAGAAGGAAAGATAATTTTATTTTCAAGGGGAAATATCTTCATTTGTGCTGGGGAAAAGATTAATAAGCTATCACGTACAACTAAACTGTCAGGGCAATTTCCATTTGAATCCGCCGGTTCCACATCAAAATCTTCTCTCCTCACAGTCACCACGACTTGAAACCCCTTCTCCAAAAAGATCTGGTATTCACACCTTGAGTTCTCAGGGTATGGATTGGGATAATTGGGACTTGTAATCTCCCCAATTGGTGCAGTGAATACATCTCCACTGCAATTGACTAAAGGAGAAAAAGAGAAAGGGGGAATCAAATGTAGGATCAAGCAAATGACTCCCCTGTGATTCCTTCTCCCATGAATTGACTGTCCTTCACTCAAACTAGCCTGGAATCCATACCCTGAATGGAGATCACATGCAATTACACATCTAATGCATATAAGTAGAGATAGCCAATGCCTATGGGGTTTCTATCACTTTGCTTATGGCAGACCCTTTCAAGGGTACGAACAGTCCCAGGTGGACTCTTCACAGGCATCTGTCTCTCTTCTCCAATTAACTAATTTTACTCTGTAGCCTTATTTTTTTCTTTCCTCTTTTGGTTCCCCCTCAGCTAATGGATAGTTTATAATAGATGCCAAATCAAGGCTAGAACTACAATGGAAGGGTGGACAAAGCCCTCACTGAGGCCTCAAGTGATTCCAAATCCCCAGAGATGTACACTCCTCCCGATGCCAAGCTCACCTCCGCAACTTTTCATATCATCATGGAGGAAGTATTCTGGGGGGCAAGAGCAGAAGTAACCACCAATGAAGTTGTTGCAGAAGTGGCTACAGGGTGCATCAGCAAAATCTGTGCACTCATTTATATCTACAAAGAGTAAATAAAGATTGTGGTTGAGGACAAATAACGACAAGGGTAAGAGAAAGTAAGCAGGCCTGTTGCTTAAAGACATTAAGGAACTATTCTTCAGGATGGTATTGTTGTATATTACTCTTATATAATATAATAAGGTTCCAGAGTTGTGCCCTACCATTGCAACACCAGAGACCCTTGACCTTCCTTATTTACAGAGTGTTCCAGCTCCAGAAACAACCTCTGTAGCCTAAATATGTTGGTGCGGGGAGGAACAATGATTACATCTATTACTTTGTATGATGTTGGTACTTCTGTCTCTAAACAATAGTTTGGTTTTATGGAAAGTTCTAACTTCATTTTAACCTAGAGATAGATGTAGCTGCACATGAAATTTGAATTTTTACGTGCCATATATCGAGTAGGTTGAGTAGCATACATTGCTTATGTGATTCTTAGCAAGTTATTTTAACTTTTCTAGTCCTCACTTTCCTTACTTTTAAATGAAGAATATAATACCTACTTTGAAGAGTTGAGAAGAATGTGTTAACATAGGTAAAAGTCCTGATATAATTCCAACACACAGTAGTCCTCAATTAATTACTATTTATTATCTATTATGCCATTATCATCATCACCACTAAGATATGATCATATTACAAAGATGATTCATGCAGAAAACCAGGCTTAGTCAACATTTCATAAGAATTATTTTTCATAGTGTCCTCATTCATTGCCTTGCTCATTGTTTTTCTACTTCTAACTTTTTAAGTGGATCAGTAAAGCAGAGAAAGAAGGGTAATCCATACCCACAGCGACATAGTATGCAGCAAATCCAGTGAAACGTTCTTCATTGGAGAAGTCTGATTTAAAGATCACCTGGAGTTTATTGTACGGAACTTGGAACTCTTCCACAATTGGGGAGTTGGGATTCTTGCTGGTTCTCTGTCCACAGAGTATCCCTTCTTCAAAGTTTCCTGACATGATCTAAAAGTTAAAAAGAAACTAGACGGTCACTGAGCTTCTGTTAAGGATGATGGAAAAATCTGGAAACAGAAAATGGCCATTGTTGAACAACATCCCAACTGTAATCAATGCTACTGAAGCATACATGTAAAGAATGTTAAAATGGCAAATGTTTTGTTACATACACATTTACCACAATAAAAAAAAATTACATAAAATTAAATGAAAAAAAATTAAGAAATGGTGCTATTATTTTGGTATGGAAGTCAGAAAAAAATGGAGAAAAGCAGTATTTGCAACCTTAGGACTATTTCACTCCAGTTCACCATATGCCTGTGGCACTCTTCTCATCCCACCACCCAGTCCTGGTCTCCCATCTCTAATCTTCATGTGCTCATAATATACCTGTACTGAGTCATATGCACAGTTCTCTGAGAGCTCCATGTCCAGATGGGTGAAGTACAGGTGAATCCCATAACCTTCAGGAACTTCTATATCCCAAGATTTCTTTATCTCATTGGGATATGCCTGAGGATAGTTAGGGGACAGGATCTCCCCATACATGGCAGGCTCAGCACAAATCAATCCCAAAAAGGAAAACAAGACAATGCACCTGGTAGGAAAAAAAAAAAATGGCATAGAGAGGTAGGTGAACCTGGTATCAGTGGTCTAATGCAAAACTCTAGCATTTATCATAGGGAGAAGTGCAGGGAGAGGAGAAGGACAGACTATGGGCCATGGAGAGAATCTTAGGCTGAAATAAAGCCAAAAGGCCTAAGCCAAACCAAAATCCAGGCTTCAGATCTGAGAAGTTTTCTCAAGAAGATGAAGAGAAAGGCATCCATGTACATTTCTATAGATCCATGCTCACTTACCACATCTCTGGTGATTTGTCCAATCTTGGTGAGCAGCACGTCTCTTGGTCCTCACTCTCCACACCTCTGGACTTCAGAGCTAAGATGTTTTAGCCCTAGTTGGACTTTTCTAGCAAACACAAGCTTTCATGGTGAGGAGTCAGTGTTACCCAGAGCTAAGAGGTTTTAGCTCTAGTTGGACTTTTCTAGCAAACACAAGCTTTCATGGTGAGGGGTCAGTGTTACCTTCACAATACACAGTTAAGCAGAGTCATATCATTATGCATCACCATAGAACACACTTATCCTATCACACCCTCCCTGGTCCTACTTTGATTAAATTTCTAGTCTAAAACTAAAACATCTTCATATTGCTTCTCTGGACCTTCTCTCGGTTTTTCTTTTTCTCTAAGGGTTTGAGGACTTTCTCCCAGTTTTCTTCTTCTTCTGTCCTCTTCCATCTCCACTCTATCAGCCTCTCTCCTACCCTCACAGGACAATATCTCCAATTCCACCTGATTTTCAGGAGTCTTTGCACATCACCATCAGCCATAAAGGACAAGTCTCCCTCCTTTCTTGACAATGAGCCCCCATGTCACTTCAAACCAGCTCTATTTACAACATTTATTATTGATATTTCTGATGATGCTCCATGACCACTAGTGGAGGAAGAAGCTTCCTTCACAGGGGAAGGCAGTGGCCTTGAGACAAAGGATATGAGAGCAGAAGTGTCGCCTCCCATTGAGACATGTTTGGGTGGGAGAGGAGAAAAGGGACAGCTGAATTGTATGAAGTATAATAGGAAATAAAATGTATTCTCCCAATTTCCTACATTAATTTTCCAGGGTTTTTTTTTTTTTTTTTCTTTTTCTCTTTACTAAACAGACAAGAGATCTACAGGCAGTTCCTAGAAAAATCTTGCCAAAATGTTTTTAACCCAGAACACAGTGGTAGGTAGTGGGATGATAAAAGAGAGAGTAGGATCAACCTAGGAGAAATAGGTTCTCTTTATTCTATTTCCTTTTATTCTGCTGTCTTTGCCCCAAACCTTCCCAGGTGAGGTTTCCTGCCTCTCTTTGTCCTCCATCAAAGCTCTGCTCTTTGTCTTTAAGGTTTTTACCTTCAGAAGCTGATGAGAGCAAGTGGGCCAGTGAACATGCTGGGTGACCCTGCTGGCTCCCAGGAAAACAGTGTAGGGCCTGGACGATCCCTCGGCAGGCACCTCCGCTGGCCTCCCTGTCCTGGTTCTGTGCAGATGATTCTCTACCGAGTGGGCATGTCTGAAATTCCCTGCCCTAAACAAAGAGGGGGCTGGGAGACCATGGCTTAGGGAAAGGGTAACTCAGTCTTGATCTTGGAGCTCCCTCTGCTTTTGAAACAAGAACTGTGTCCTCCTCTCTGACAGGAGATTCCGCTATCCAGGGCTACAGGGGGAGAAAGGAGAAACAGGGAATTTCACTGATTGCCCAATACTCTTTTTCAGCCAAAGGGTGTGTTACAGAGTTTTCGGGGAAGTCAGGTGATTTGTAGGAAAAGGAGGGGAATAATAACATGGGGAAGAAGCCAAACCCAAAAAGACCAACCCTCCAGTTATGTGTGAATCATCATTTAAAGAAGAGTGGTTATCAGAACATGGAGTAGCTAAAGCAAACTGAGAAAATGATGTAAAAGAGCTGAACAGAAGATTTCAAAGGGCAGCTCAAGAAGACTAAGTAAAGAATTACAATTAAATGGGCAAAGACCTTGAGTTAGAAAATCAAAAGGGAAGAACTCGCTAGCATTTCTCAAGTTGAAAGAAAAAATTCAAGCCTCAAACTGTAATATTGAAGGATTCTGTGGGTAAAATATTGAATGACTCTAGAAACATCAAAAGAAGATGGCAGGAATACACAGAGAAACTTTACAAAATTGACATTCAACCATTTCAGGAAGTAGCATATGATAAAGAACCGATGGTATTGAAGTAAGAAGTCCAAGCTACACTGAAGGCATTGGCAAAAACAAGACTCCAGGAATTGACCAAATACCAATTGAACTGTTTCAATAAATAGATACAACATGAGATGGAAGTACTCCCTCCTCTATGCAAAGAGATTTAGAACACAGCTACCCAGCCAACCAACGTGAAGAGATCCATATTTGTGACCATTCCAAAGAAAGGTGATCAACAGAATGCAGAAATTATTGAAGAATATCATGAATATCACATGCAAGTGAAATTATACTGAAGATGATTCAAAAATGGTTGCAGCAATAATACATCAGCAGGGAACTGACAAATTCAAGCGAGATTCAGAAGAGGATGTGAAATGAGGGCTATTATTGCTGATGTCAGATGGATCTTTGCTGAAAGCAGAGAATACTAGAAAGATGTTTACCTGTGTTTTACTGATTATGCAAAGGCAGTCAACTGTGTGTATCAAAACAAATTATGGATAATATTGCCAAGACTAGGAATTCTAGAACACTTAATTGTGCTCATGCCAAACCTATACACAGACCAAGAGGCAGTTGTTCAAAAAGAACAAGGGGATATGACATGATTTAAAATCAAGAAAGGTGTGTGTCAGGATCGTATCCTTTCACCATACTGACTCAATCTGCATGCTGAGCAAATAATCTGAGAAGCTGAACTATATGAAGAACAAGACACCAGGACTGGAGGAAGACTCATTAACAACCTGTAATATGAGATGACACAACTTCATTTGCTGAAAAGATACGAGATGACACAACCCCGTTTGCTGAAAACAAAGATGACTTGAAGCACTTAATGATTAAGATCAAAGATTGCAGTCATCATGATGGATGACACCTCCACATAAAGAAAACAAAAATCCTCACAACTGGACCAACAAGCAACACCATGATAAACAGAGAAAATAATGAAGTTGTCAAGGATTTCATTTTACTTGGATCCACAATTAATGCCCATTGAAGCAGCAGTCAAGAAACCAAACAACATATTGCATTGGGAAATCTATTGCAAAAAACCTCTTTAAAGTACTAAAAAGCAAAGATGTCACTTTGAGGACTAAGATGCACCTGACCCAAGCCATGGTACTTCAATCACCTCACATGCGTGCAAAAGCTACACTGTGGTGCAGTAAATTACTTAATACAACCTTTCTAGCCATCTTAACCTCTGTGGTTATGGTCCCATTTTGGAGTGAGTTGTCCATTATGTTAATGAGGCAGGATTAGGGTGGGATGCATCTTGAGGCACCACCCTACACACCCTTGCACCACCTTGCTTAAGTGAAAGCATTCCCTTGAGGGTATAGTCTACATCCAGTATATATGAATCCTCTGAAAAAGTTATTTCTTTTGCTCTGGGTCCTGCATCTGGCTTGTCATCATCTGACTTCTGGTTCTTGGGACTTGAGCCTGCAGCCAGCCTATTGTCTGACCTGATTCACCTACTTCTGCAGCCTTGTAAGCCAGTGGCATGTTGTCTGACCTGCCAATTTGAGTCCATCAGCCCTTGCAATGACATGAATAGGGAAAGGCCTCCAGCCTGATGCCTGACCCACAGATTTGGAACTTGCCAGCCTCCACAACTGCAAGTCATTTCCTTGAGAGTTCATGAGTTCTGTGAGATGTTGCATCAATTATGGAATCCAAAGACAGGAGGGAGAATACTGAGTGGAGGAGTAGTAGTTGATGTTACAGATGATGGAGTAATACAGCATTTTGGAAAAGTTGGGCATTTGGGACATTTAACCTACACCTCATAGGAACAAGCCTTGTGCTGATCCTTGTGAAAGAAATTAGTAATGTAACAATGAATAAGGAAGACAGAAGAATTGATGCAATTGAATTACGCTATTGATGAAGAATATTGACTATACCAAGGACTGCCAAAAGAAGGAACAAATGTGTCTTAGAAGGATAGCCATTATGCTTCTTAGAAGTGAGGATAGCAAGACTTTGTCTCATGTACTTTTTTTTAATGCATTTTATTGAAATATAATTTATGTGCAGTGAAATACACAAAACTAAAGTGACATAGGTCAATGC